CTGAGAAGACCAGAATAGATCCTAAGACCTACAAATTAAAATGCGATTTGAAAGCATTTCCAGAAAGGTACTTGAGGTTCAAAGACACCGTAAGCAGGATATTAGCCAAGAACATCCTGCAGGCTCCTGAAGCTCAGCTGCTATCTCTAGCTGCTTTATAAATACCAGAGTATAGCAAAGATCAACTATGAAATAGATATTCAAGTTTCATGTGAGGATGATAGTGAGATAAAGGAAATCAAGGTTAATGGTTTATAGATCCTACCAGGGTGTTCCTGCATGATCTGTTGGCTCTTACTAAACTCCTAAATTCTACTCTAAGTGAAGAATTAACTGAAGCTCTCTTACAAATCTAGGGACCCCATCCCATTGATCTCTGAATCTCTTCCAAATTGATCCTGGTACCCACAGCATAGCCGTGTCTGCCCTGTTTGTTGCTATATTGTTCAGATGAGATCACAAATTGTGTAGAAAAATAAACATTGCAGTGGAAAACAGGACTTCAAAAATATTCAGATGCATTAAAAATTAGTAAAAACAAAGATCTAGAATATTGCAATGGTGAGTCTCTGATGGCCCTTAGTATTGCCTGCCGGCCCTGAGCTCTCTTTAGGAAGGTTTTATACAGGTTCACACTGGAATTCCATCACAGTGTCTCTGGGAGAGAAGTATGTGGGTTTGCTGTCAGTCTGCAGACTGTTCAGTTTTAAGAAAACTTGGCTTTTGGAGAGGTTCTGCTGATGGTGAACTAGGATTTGAAAGCTGAATTATAATCAGTGTTTTCATTATCCTGTATTATTCCTATTAACTCCAGACTCGTTTCTAGAGACTGGTGGGCCAGTGTTTACAATAGCTGGTTAATGAGAACACGGAGACAGTGCAGGTGAGAGACAGGGTCATGGTCTGCTGTGATGCCTGCACCAGGTCAGGTATTGACTTCTTCACCTGGAGCTGGGATAGTTCACCTGGGGAAAAGCAACATCACCATCAGTCAAATATTCCATACATGATGTACCTGGTTCTCTCTCCTGAAACTCTGAAACACTTACAGGTTGGACAGGTCAAGAGGCAGAGGAGCAGCACCAGGACAGCCATGCTTTGCTGGAGGCTTCAGTGAGAAGAAGATGGGTTTCTCAGCTAGGACATGGCTTTCATTCTGAGCCTGAGGGCTACTCTGCATTGGGGGAGGTTCCTGAAAGGATAAAGGAAGCCCAGGAGGTTTCCCTTTCTTTTACATGTGACTGAGTTTTGCTTCTATTTCCCAACTGAATGGATTAAGACTATATTTCACCATGTCCAACCATCAAATGCAGTGTCGTCAATCATTAATGAATTTATTTTCATGAAAAACTTTCAACACAATATGTTCTGGTAAGTATTTACTTTCTATCTTCTTTTGCAGATCCTGCCCATCTCCCGATTCCAGATTTTCATAAAATGTCAGAGTTTTAAGAGTCATTTATGAGTACATATAAGGGTTTGTACATGAAGTATTCATTTCCATATAGACAGTTAATAGTTTAAAAATGCATGATTAACAATACATTTTCTCTTTTAAATATTGTTATACAATATACATATTTGCTTTTACAGATTACAATTCTATCAATGTACAGTGATAATATTCAAGGCTCAAAAGTTGGCTCAGTGGTAAGGCACCTGCCTCTTCAGTGTTAAAATCTTTGCTTGATTCACAACACTTAGCTTCAAATCTGGGTGTGATGGTTTATCCTATCTTCCAGCACTGCATGCATTATGACTGGAGATTCTCTAAGTCTTGCCAGCCAAAGACTCTGTCTGAGTATTTGTGCTCCAGGTTCACTGTGATATCCTTACTCAAAAATAAGATAAATCATCTGGTAAACACACTCAAGCTCCTCTCTAGCCTCCTGACATATGTGCAAATCATGTACTATGCACACACAGAATATCCAATTAGCATTTATTGTCATTCAAACATTGTCCTTACTTGACATTGGATTTATGGTTTGTCTAAGTGCTTATTTCCTATTTTTAAGTGAGTTTGGTTCGTAATTTAAGACATTTCATATGATCACAAAGCACTCCACCACAGAGCTACAAGACTAGCTCAGCCTTTTAAAACATCACATTTTTCTACAGAAAATATTTTCGATAACTGCATTTATGCACTACTAACATATACACCTGGAAACAAAATTACTTCTTCCTTGACACCCAGCACTTATAACTGATTCTGTAAAGGATGAATTTACTGCAGGGCAGTGGTGGTGCACATCTTTAATCCTAGCACTTGGGAGGCAGAGGCAGGCAGATCTCAATGAGTTCGAGGCCAGCATGGTTTACAAGAGCTAGTTCCAGAACAGACTCCAAAGCTACAGAAAAACCCTATCTCAAATACACAAAAACAAAACAACCCCCCCCCAAAAGGGATCAATTTTCCGAGCATAGATTTCGAGAATGTTGGGGCTGAGAGGATAAATCAAACCAAACAAAGAAAACAGAGGGGAGAGGACAAGGAGAAATAGAGGGAAACTTCACCCTCAGCTGGTGACCCCTATTCTGATTCTGAACTCCATGATCTTTTCAAGACTACTGTGTAGTTGAACCACAGCATGTGCTGGAATCTCACTATTCATGTTCAAATCACACACCTGAATGAAAAGTTAAAAATGAGAACAAACTGCACATATGAGTAACAGTGTCTGTCACACATCTAAAAGAGAAAGACATGTTCTGTTGAGCTGTGTTCTCTGCCTCTGTTACTTTGGGTATCACTGGAATCTTAAAGAATGGGAGAGGGAATATCTTCAGGGGCCTGCTCAGAATAAGAGAGTTCCTAAGCCTGAAGTAAAACTTTGAATCCCTGCCTCGCTGCTCACGTGATCTCAAAGCAGGTTTCTGTGGTCATATGATGGTGTGGTCACCTCTGTAATATAAATTATTTATAGATGATTAGAAAGTATACATCTCTGAAGCAAACACACAGGCACTCAGACATATACACACAGACATATAACAGTAGAGACAATCCTTCACAGAGACACATACAAGGGCAGATATATATATATATATATATATATATATATATATATCATATGATACCTGAAAATATTCTTTTTCCGTCTATCTATTTATTTTACTATAATACTGGACTCTCTAAACATGGCGAACAATGAGGGCTGATGAGACGCAAAGGACAATGGCACGGGGTTTTGATCATAAGTAATTTGATGGCTTTGTGGGAGCCTAGCCAGTTTGGATGTTCACCTTCCTAGATATGGACGGAGGGGGGAGGTCCTAGGTCTTACCACGGGGCAGAAAACCCTGACTGCTCTTTGGACTGGAGAGGGAGGGGGAAAGGAGTGGGGGGAGGGGGGGAAGGGTGGGAGGAGGGAGCGTAGGGGGGAGGAGGGGGAGGGAAATGGGAAGCTGGGAGGAGGTGGAAACTTGGTTTTTTTTTCTCCTTTTCTCAATAAAAAAAAAAGAAAAAAAAAACAAATCACCATGCTCATTCATAATGTACTGTGATCACACTGATTCATCTATCCCACTATCCCGTCTTCTTTTTTACTTCTTTAACCCTCTGTCCTTTCCTACTCTCTTGTATCTTCTTTTCTCTCCTCCCTCCTTTCCTGCTTCTTTTTTCGCTCATCCACATGTGAGGTTTCAGAGTCACATCATCTTGTATAATTCTCTGAGGGACCCCACAGTTTTCATAACGTCTTAGTAGAACTACATTCCCATTTCTGCAGCACAAGCATCCCTTCTCCTCTATTTCCATAACACTTGGCCTCAGTCTTTCTTTAGATAAATTGCACTCATATCATTGGTTACAGGCAACTAATTCTTTTTGGTTTAAGAATCTCTGTGGTTATTAAAAATATTAGCTCTATTTAACCTCTTCTGCCCACTTTCACTGGTCAAGGTGAAGCATCCCAATTACAAGATGCAGGGAAAAATACTGTGTGTTCATGAGGAGGACATCACCTCTCAACTCTGGGTTTCCTGAGCTATCTGTTAACCTCCTGGCTCCTATCTTAGAGAAGTGAGAGAAAGGGGTTTTTCTTGGAAAGAAAAACTGAACGGTTCTCTTGGATGACAGAAACCTTGTTATAACCTTTAACAGGGAGTACTCATATTTAAAACTCAGTATTTATTAATCAAAATGAGGAATATATTTTGAAATATTACCATTTGAATCAAGGTCTCATATAAACTAGACAAAAACTAGACCATTGGGCCAAATTACAGCATTGAATGAGAACTTTTTTTTTTTTAAAAAAACACACTATTTTAATTAGGGATATATGCTTCTGTGTGGATAGTGCAGTGCTCACAGAGATAAACAGATAGCAACAGGGTCCACTAGACTCACATATGGCTCTGAGCTGCCTTCATCTTCTAGGGTTTAAAATCTTCTTTGGCCTCTTCAGGAACTGATGCTGGTCACTAAACAGGATCATTTTGCTCTCTGTGATGATCTGCATTTTGTTTAGGTAAAAGCACATCCTAAATTTTAAAAGTAACTAAAACGGGGCTGTGAAATCAAGTTTTTCCCACATAAGAATGCTTCAGTGGGTTTTAAAGACAGAACTCAGAATCCATAACAAAAAAAGAAATGGGTGTGGCAGCCAACAAGGTGTACCATATAGGGAATATGGAGAATGAACAATCACTGGGACTCACTGGACAACTAGACTACCTAGTCATTGAAATCCAGGTCCAGTGATAGAATTTGTGTCACAATAAGTGCTGCAGATTATTAGAAAAATTCATCATATGTCAACAGCCCCCCCTCTCCCCAGACACATACATGGAGAGGAGTGAGAGAGAAAGATTGAGGGAGAGAGAGAGAGAGAGAGAGAGAGAGAGAGAGAGAGAGAGAGAGAAAGGGGGAAAGGGAGAAATACTGACATATAGACAGAGATATGGAGACAGGAGAAACACTTTAATAAATAAACACACACAACACAACTGAAAATAGAAATTTGAATAATCATTTGGGCATTCAAGGATTACTACACACTGTACCTGTAGAGAAAATACCTAAGTGTGATATGGAGAGGCAGTACAGACAGACACAGAGAAGTCCGGTCTTCCACACTTCTCTGAGCAGGCTCTACTGTGACCCAGATAGCTAAGTGCTCTCCGCGCCCCCTGCTGGTTCTGTGTTCTTCACGGGGGTGTTTTTGTCTGAGCTCACAGTAGCATTCACTCACTGTGCCTCTTGCACAGTAATACATGGCTGTGTCCTCAGACTTCAGACCGCTCATTTCCAGGTACAGAGTGTTCTTGGAATTGTCTCTGGAGATTGTGAACCGGCCCTTCACAGCGTCAGTATACCAGGTGCTACCACCATTTGCATTAATCTCTGCGACCCACTCCAGTCCCTTCCCTGGAGCTTGGCGGACCCAGTTCATGTAATAATCACTGAAGGTGAATCCAGAGGCTGCACAGGAGAGTTTCAGGGTCTTTCCAGGCTGCATTAAGCCTCCCCCAGACTCCAGCAACTGCACCTCACACTGGACACCTGTAAACACAAAGATTTCTGGTTAGAAAACTGAAAGAGAAGACATTTTTTTCTCTTTCTCATGTCCACACAATACACATTATCCCATCTTTATGAATTACCTTTTAAAATAAGAACAAACGAAATAGATATGAGTCTTAAGTCCATGATGAGTGTCCTGTCTTCAATGCTGAACCCTGACTAGGAAGATTTGGGAATCCAGGGCTTGTCTCCTCTGCCAGAGCTGCAGGGTCAGGGCAGGGCTGGATTTTATGGGCACAAATAAGCCTTATTTGCATATCTTCCTGCCATAACATGCTCTGTAGCTGGACCTGGACAGAAGGCGGTACTCAGTGCAGATATAAAACACCATACACACTGATGACAGTCATAGAAACGGAAGCATTAACGTAGCTCTGCTAGGGATTCACCATGCTATATTTAGTTCCCTTTTCACTATATGCACAGGGAATGCTGTGTTTCCATACTGTCATGTCTCTTTAGGATCAATGTGAAAATAAAATGCTCCACACACAGCTGTGTTTCTAGGTATTAGCTCTGTCTGTCCCTCTGTCTCTGATGGACATGGCTTCTTCCTGAGGTGAGTCTTGCATAAGGTCACACCTGCTTCTAAGGAGAACTCCTTCACTGTTTTAGGAACACTTGAGAATTTACTGATGGTAGTTTTATACAGTTCTTTTTTTTCTCTTTTTTTGTTACTTTAATAATAATACCAGTCAAAATTCCCACTACCTCCACTCCTCCCACTTCCCACCTGCTCCCAAATTTACCCTCTCCCCACCCCCTTCATTCCTAATAGAGGGTAAGACACCCTGCCCTATGGGAAGTCCAAGGTCCTCCCCACTACATCCAGGCTTAGGAAGGTATGCATCCAAAAAGAATAGGATCCCCAAAATCCAGTACATGCAGAAGAAACAAATCCCAATGCCATTATCATTTGCCCCTCAGTCTGCCCCAATTGTCAACCACATTCAGAGGATCCAGTTTGATCCCATGCTTGTTCATTTCCAGTCTAGCTGGAGATGGTGAGCTCCCATTAGCTCAGGAACACTGTCTCAGTGGGTGAACCAAACCCTCACAGTCCTTACTGATCCCATAGTCAGACTGATGACTATCTTGAATATCACCATAGAACCTTCATCAGGTGACAGATGGAGACAGAGACCAACATGGGAGCACTGGACTGAGCTCCCAAGGTCCAGCTGAAGGGCAGAAGGAGGGAGAATTTTACTCAGTTCTTAGAGATGCTGTCCTACAGCCTCATGAAGTTTGTAAATGTGATGCTTCTTGTTACTGTCTGTCTTCCTCTCAGTGGAAGTTTCATGCTGTGCAGAAAACAGAGGATACCACATCCTCAGTGCATATCCCTGTAAATCCCAGCAGAGTGTTTAGAAGGAATTTAGTCAAGATGCACTTCAGCCTCTTCCTGGTGTGAAATCAGGATTAAGGAACTACTTGAAATACTTTCTGTTGCCATTGAAGTTAATTTTTTATCATTCACCTAGAAAATCCAATTTGTGAGGGGGCAACTCACAAACATTTAGTGCATGTGATTTTAATTTTTTATCTGAGGGGAGATTCATGGGATTGATATCCATGCACATAAGTGGTCTCAGATTATTCACCTGCCAATTTAGGGACACCACACTTGGATAAGATAGTTCCTAGTCTATGGTTGTTTGTGTCTCTGTCACTATGTACATTTATTTCCTTCCTTGACTCTTTACCACTTGAAGCACATTGCAAATGCAGGTTCCTAAATATGATTCCTGCATTGGTGAGGGATGGAGGGTCACCTTTTTATGATATCTCATAAAAAGCAGTTGCATGGGACCAGTATTCAGAGTTGTGTTACCTGAAGCAATACAAAGAAGGAGAGCCCTAAGTGACAGCAAGGAGTGGAGAGGAGGACTTGCTTGAACAATGGGAGCTGTTTGTCGTGCTGTGAAGATCACCATTGAGAAAGGGGACTTAGGGCTTTTTTCTCATGCCATCAGAAAATGGCAGAGAATAGCTCAAAATAATCTGTTTAGGAAATCCCAGAGTATATCCACCAATTTTTTTTTTATATTGGACACCCCAGATGTTGTGTTTCTTTTTCCTCTGAGCATAATCTGTATGTGAGTAGCAGTGGTGGAGACAGGTCTTAACACTGGGAAGCCTGCCATCCTGTGCCTATGAAGGGCACCCACCCCTGTAAGTGGTTTGTCTCCCTTGTTCAGGATGCACTCTTTGTTAGAAGAACATTTTCAGACCTTATGTTCAGTGTGTATCATCTTTGGTTTGTCTGATTTTTCATTGTGCGTTTTGGATCTTGAGAAAGATCACAGGAATAATTGCATATATTTCATATTATCCTGGAGAACTGGTATGTGACCTCTTACTCAAGAATTTACTGCAGAAGCAGAATTCTTATGAAAATTTAGAGAGAATAAAACTTATTCAAGCTAATCTATGAATCAGTCATTCCTACTACCCTCTTTCTCCTGCTACTCACTTCTGAGTACCATTTCTGGCCCCTCCTACTCTCATGTCTCTTCTTTCCTTTCATTCCTCCCTGCCCTCCCTGCCCCCCTGCTAAACTTCCGCTTCCTCATTTCTTCTCTCCTCTTTCCTCTCACTCTCTCCCACATCCTCTCTTCAATCACTTCCTTTTATTTCCTTTGTCTGCAACATGTTTTTCTTCTATATGTGCATAATTTTTATGGCTACACTGGATCTAAAAGGCAGGAGCCAACTCTATCACATTCCTCCAGCAGTCTCTTGCTACCTTTCTTGACCTTCAGAACATACATACTATGTTTGTTTGGAGTGAGTATTCAACAGTAACTTATTTTCAGAATTAGGGCAGTCATGGGTCCATGCTTTACATATCACACACTTCAGAAAGTCTTCACTGACCCAGGCTGAGAGAAGCACTAACATATTGGTAAGAGTATAGAAGACAGTGTTAGTATATGCTCCTTGGCAAAACATCAGTAGTATATTTCCTTATAGTATTGTGACCTTTGTACTTTGATTTTTTGAACATTTTTGTGTTCTAGTTATTTAAAATATTTTAATTTTGAAATATGATTATCTCAGTAAAATATATTCAGAATCTCAGTTTCGCGTAGCATTTACAGCCCCTCTCCTCTACATGCTGGACCATTTAACTGGCTGGGTTTTGTACATACCTTGTACAGGAACACATAACAGTTTACGTGCGTAATGACCATACAGTGTCCAGAGGTAACCATATCACAGAACTCCTGCCCATTTTATGGTACTTCCATTCTTTCAACCCACTCTTCAGTGATCTTCCTTGTGCCTTGTGGGGGAATATGGAGGAGTAGGGAAATGGGGGATGTGGGAGTTTTGATGTAGACATTCTGTCTGTGAACAAGCACTCACACAGTTGTCTGTTCTTAGCGGTGAACAGTCATGGACTCTCTGCAATCATTGACGGCTGCTGGTGGATGGAGATTCATTTTAATTGCAGGTATAGCTATTGATTTGTGGATGAGTATATTACTAAATATTTTTGAATGGTATATACATTTTTTAAACAAAAGAAAATATCCATAGTTCATTTTCTGGGAATGTGAGCATAGTATTCCAGGCTACCTCCAGCTGGTTGGGGTCACTGATAATCTTATGGGGGCCTGTTCTGGATGAAGAACTCAGACATCTGGGCCATCTGTTTCTGTCGGAGATTTCTCAGGTGCTCTTCCTTGATCTAACCTGATTTTTCTTAACTCAGAATGAGTCCACAGGCTCTCATTTCCTGTGGAAACAAAAGCAAAATCTCTTCTGCAAAGTAACATACCTTTTGACTTCAGTTTTGAAGTCAAGGTATCTGGTATTAATTCAGCAGCATTTATAAGCAAATATTTTTTAGTAGCTATTGCTCCTTCAGCACTCAAACAATTCAAAGAGCATAATAACATACAGTATCCAGATTCTCTGCATGTTTTCCATCTTTATGATGCTTTATTTTAATCTTTAATTCTTATATCTTTACATTTTGGCTTTTTGAAATAGGGTTTCTATGTATCTTTGTCCTGGAACTCGCTCTGTAGACCAGGCTGTCAGCTTTTTATCAACACTATTTAAATGTTTCTTGGCAGAACCTCTTAAAAGAGCTGCAAGGTTTTGCAGCTAAACCTGAGTGACGAAGGCCCTCTTAACTGAGAGTGTTTGCTTGCCTCTAGCAAGCAGAGCAGACCTGAGCAATTGCTGCTACCAAGACGCCATGCTTTACTCTATTCTTTCTGTCTAGAATTACTTCCCAAGCTCTGCCAGGCTTTATCTGGATACAGTTGTCCATGTTGGGTACCATTCTGTAGTAATAGGAGCAGGCTGCAGTTGGCTTGTTGGGGTTTCTGGCCGGCCTGTTACCCCAGCTGTTTAGTCCCAGAGAAAATCTTAGTCAGTAGAGCTTGAGACTCTTAATCTCAGGGTAGTGGTTTTGAGCCCCACTTGGGCACCAGAAGAAGGCATAAGTCACAAACAATCCCACACCAGTTTGGAATTGTGATTAATAAGATGGTTATTTATTTAAAGGGAAAAAACTTACAGATCACTGTCCCAGACAACAGCCCTCTGTGAGATCAGGAAAGGAGTCTAGTAGCCATAAGCAGAGCCAGAAGCAAGAGAGCAAGTACACAGCTACCACTGCTTTTTAAAGCAAATGAGACAATGCCCAAATGGGCTGGTATCTTAAAGGCTATTGGTTGAATGAATGGAAGGAGCTCCTGCAACAGCTAACTCTAGCTGCAGGACCTCTATGGTCTGAGTACCAGAGCATAGCCTGGGTCAATGATGAAATTCATGTTCATGTTTTATGTGAGGATGATGTAGAGAGTGAAGGAAACCAAAGTTAATGGTTTATAGGTCCTACCAGGGTATTCCAGCATGATCCATTGGCTCCAACAGAAATCCTAAATTCTACTCTAACTGGAGAATTAAATGAAGCTCTATTGTGAATTGAAGGACCACCCCCCCCCAATTCCCAATGATACTCGAGTCTCTTCAAGATACATCCTGATGCCCGCAGCCCAGCCAGGTCTGCCCTGCGTGATGGGATCTATCTTGTTCAGATGAGATTGCAAATTACATAGAAAAATAAATATTATAGTGGAAAACAGGACTTCAAAAATATTCAGATGCATTATAGATCAGTGCAGACTAAATTTTAGAAGAGTACAATGAGAAACATGACTTTGATGCACATAGCAAGCCAAGGAACAGAGAAGCCAACTCTTCATGGGCTTGTGCACCTGCTGTGATTTAGCACACTGAAATGTCTTGTGTTAGTGCTGGGGAGCCTAAATTGGGCCTTTGTACCACCCGCTGGCCCTGAGATCTCTGTAGGAAGGTTTGTACAGGTTTACACTGGAGGTCCATCACTGTGTCTCTGGTAGAGAAATATATGGCTGTGTCTCCAGTTTGCAGACTGTTCAGTTTTAAGGAGACATGGCTCTTGGAGGTGTCCCTGCTGATGGTGTTCTAGGTTTGAGAACTGAATTATAATCAGTGTTTTCATTATACCATATTATTTCCATTAACTCCAGACCCTATCCTGGAGGCTGGTAAACCCAGTCAGTGTACATGACAGCTGGTTCTGAGAGCAGAGAGACAGTGCAGGTGAGAGACAGGGTCTAGGTCTGGTCTGTGATGGCTGCACCTGGTTAGTTCCTGACTCCTTCGTGTGGGCCTGGGACAGGTCACTAGAGACAAGCAACAGCATCATTAGTCATAAAATTCATAGATGATAAACCTGTGTCTCTCTCCTTAAACCCTGAAGCACTTACAGGTTTAAAAGTTCATGAGGAAGAGGAATAGCACCAGGACAGTCATGCTGTGCTGGAGGCTCCAGTGAGAAGAAGATGGACCTCTCAGCTAGGCCTTAACTTTCTTCATGAGCCTGAAGCTTCTTTGAATTGGGAGAGGTTCCTGAGAGTGTAAAAGGAAGCACAGGAGGTTTCCATTTCCCCTTCAGGTGACTCAATTTACTTCCTGTTTCTTAGTAGAAATAGAAATGGATTCTCAGGAACATTTTCCTGGTTCTGGCTAGGCTTCCAATCCCTGACAAACTAGAAATATTTTGAGTTGCATTGTGCAGATTTGCCAGGCAAAAGAAGAAAACGTTTATGGTGAGTCCACATTCAATCAATGACAGTAGAATGGTGTATCACTTACTCGATGTATTTGAAAGTCTCTCAAAATTCATAAATTGGATTTTGAATGGAATTGGGGCTCATAGTGATCAGAAATCATACTTATGAAAACTTAGAATTTATTCTTTTGGTGTCAGTAGAATCATCTTATTATTATCCCTCATCTAGAAGATAACTTGTAATTACTAATATTTGCTATGTGTGATCTCATATGTTCATTGGGTAAAAACACAAGTGACTGACAAGGATCTGATGTTATTAGGCTCAGACTATTTATCTTCCTAATTAGGGACCCCATACCTGGGCACTTGTCCTTGAGCATCTTTATTTACATCAGTCTTTTTTTTTTCTTTGTATTTTTATATTTCTCACTTTCTCTGTCCTCAGGTTGTAGAACATAAGAACCCATGTTTTATGATTATTGCATTGTCAATGGATGCAAAGCCAGCAGTTCACAACACCTCATAAAAAGAAGTAGCATCCAGCCAGGCTTGAGCATTATGTGAGATGAAGTAATAAAAAGACATAGAAACCTATGTGATGACAAGACATGGAAGCAGGGTATACTTGAACATTGGGGACTGTTTGCCTTGTGGTGAGGATAATCATAGAGGACAAGAGACTGAAGGGCTTTGTCCCCTGCCTTAGTAATTAATGTAAATCACCAGGGAAGGGAAATGAATTATACCCAACCTGCCTTGTCATATCCCAAAGAACATCCACCACTTCTTTTATTGGAATCCCACATTTTATGTTCCTCAATTTGTTGTGCACATTATATTTACTGTGAGTGGCAGTGGGGCAGCTAGAAGATAGGTGGGACAGTCATCCTTCCAAATACTGATGGGAAACAAACAATATGAGTGCTGAGTTCTCCTTATTTGCTATGTCAAGTAAGATAAAGAATATTTTTCAGACATGTTTAGTTTGTCTCATCTTGGGTTTGTCTGATATTTTCATTGTGGTTACAAAAATCAGGGAAGGAATATCAGAGAAATAAAGACACATTTCTAATACTACATTTGGAAAATTGGTATAGGTCAACTTATTATTCACATATTTTTGATATTGTCTACTGCAGAGATAGTTTGCATCTGTATTCTGTCTTGATTTCTCTCTTGATTTCTGGGTTTCTGTTCCTGTGAATCTGCCTAGAAGGAATTCACTAAGCAAAAGTCATTTCAAAGGGAATGAGTTGATGGTACAGTCACACATTATTTACAATTATCTTCTACTTGAGAGGTGGATCTTTATTATTAAATGTTTCATCAGTCTGCAACCTCAGCCACACATTCCTACATACACAGACAGAGACGCACAGAGAATGAGATTCCCACTTCCAGATACAGTCCCATATCCATCCTACACACCCGCAGTCAGAAACACTCTCACATTCACTGTTAGAAGGGATGACTTTTTTTGATTTTTGTCAGGGTCATCTATCTAGTTGGTGGGGACTTTCCAAATAGACCAAGGTATGAGAGAATTTTTTGCTTCTCTCTATATATTGAATGTATTAACACTGTATTTCACCATGCCCTACCATCAAATGCGCTGATGTTGATAATTAAAGAATTTATTACCTTGAAAAACTTTCAATACAATATATTCTGATAATTATTTACATTCTCTCTTCTTTTGCAAATCCTACCCAATTCACCATTTCCAGAATTCCATAATGGTAATTTTTAAAGGTTATGTATGAGGACTCACGTCATTCATTTTCACATAGACAGTAAATAGTTTAAAAATCCATAATTGGCAATGCATTTTCTCTTTTAAAATTTTTTTACAATACATGTATTTGCTTTTATATATTACAATTCTTTTATCAATGTATAGTGATAGTATCTAGGGCTCAACAGTTGGCTCAGTGGTAAGAAGCCTGCCATCCAGTATTAGTATCTTAGCTTGATCCACAACACTTAGCTTAGAAGCTGTGTGTGATTGTTTATCCTATAATCCCAGCACTGGAGGGGGTTGTAACTGGAGGTTCTCTAAAACTTGCCATTCCAAGAATCTATCTGCACATTTGTGCTCCAGGTTCACTGTGAGATCCTGTCTCAAAAATAAGGAAGAAATGAACCAATAAACCTACTCAATCTCAACTCTTGCCTTCAGATACATGTGCAAACCATACACATTGCACACACAGTCTAGACAGTTAGGTTTTAAAGCCATCCAAACATTTTCATTACCCTGCATTGTATTCACGGTTAATAGTTATTTAAAACTGTGTCATGGATGTTGCATACCTTGGATGAACTGCTTGCTATGGAAGTCAAGAGATGAACTCCTGTAGACTTGTTCCTTCTCTACAACTTTACAACTGCATTTCCTATTCCTTTTCCAACAATGAGAATGGCTCATTTAAGTCTCTAAAAGTAAGAAATGATATTTTCCTAAGTGCTTAATTTCTACTTTTAAGAGAGTTTGGTTCTTAAACTTAAGACATTTCACATGGTCCCAACACACTTTACCACAGAGCTTCAACTCTAGATCAATTTTTTAAAACATCACATTATTCTACTGAAAATAATTTTTAAGCCTGCATTTATGCACTACTAACAAATACGCCAGGAACAGCAAATTCTTTTTCCTTGATGCCCAGCACTTACAACTGATTCTGTAATGTATCAATTCACTGAGCATGGATCTCAAGAATATTGGGATATTGTGGATAAATCAAACCAAACGAAGAAAACAGAAGGAAGAGGACAAGGAGAAGTAGAGGGAAACTTTTCCCTCAGCTGGTGACCCCTATCTGAGTCTGGACTCCATGAATTTCTCAAGACTACTGTGTAGCTGAACCACAGCATGTGCTGGAATCTCACTATTCATGTTCAACTCACACACCTGAATTAAAAGGTAAAAAATGAGAGCAGACTGTACATATGAGTAACAGTGTCTGCCACACATTGAAAAGAGAAACACAGAAGCTGTTCAGCATCATATGTTAGCACATAAACACACACACACACACACACACACACACACACAAATGGAGAGTAGGTAGAGAGAAAGTGTGAGAGAGAGAGAAAGACAGAGAGAAAGAGGGAGAGGGAGAGAGAGAGTGAGACATTGAGAGAGACAGGTAGACAGATAGAGTTAAAGGGAAACAAGGAGAAACACTGTAATAAATAAACACACGCACAACCCAACAGGAAAATGAAATTGGAAAAACATTTGGACATTCAAGGATTACTACACATTATACATGTAGAGAAAATCGCTAAGTGTGATATGGAGAGGCAGTGCAAACACAGAGAAGTCCAGTCTTCCATTCTTCTCCCAAAAGGCTCTTCTCTGACCCTGATTTCTAAATGCTCTCAGCACCCCCTGTTGGTCCTGTGTTCCCCACAGGGGTGTTTTTGTCTGAGCTCACAGTAGCATTCACTCACTGTGTGGCTTGCACAGTAATACATGGCTGTGTCTTCAGACTTCAGACTGCTCATTTCCAGGTACAGAGTGTTCTTGGCATTGTCTCTGGAGATTGTGAACCGGCCCTTCACAGCGTCAGTATAACTGGTGCTACCACCACTACTGCTAATGGATGCTACCCACTCCAAACCCTTCCCGGAAGCCTGGCGGACCCAGCTCATTGCATAACTACTGAAGGTGAATCCAGAGGCTTCACAGGAGAGTTTCAGAGACTTTCCAGGCTGCACTAAGTCTCCCCCAGACTCCAGCAACTGCACCTCACACTGGACAACTGTAAACACAAAGAATTCTGGTTAGAAAACTGACACAAAAGACATTTTTTTCTCTTTCTCATGTACACACAACACACAACATCTCATCTTTGTGAATTTCCTTTTAAAATAAGGACAGAGAAAACCAGTATACGCCCAGAGTCCATGGTGAGTGGCCTGTGTTTAGCACTGACCACTGACTGGGAGGATTTGGGAATCCACGGCTGGTCTCCTCTGCCAGAGCTGCAGGGTCAAGACAGGCATAGTGTTTATGGAAACAAATAAGTCTTATTTGCATATCTTCCTGCTATAACAGGCTCTGTAGTTGAACCTGGGCAGAAGGCAGTACTCTGCACATATATAAGTCATCATACACACTGATGACAGTTACAGAAATTGAAGCATTAATGTAGGTCTGCATAAACATTTTCCTTCTTAGGGATTCATTATACTGTACTTAGTTCCCTTTTCACCATATGCATAGAAAATGTTGTGTTTCCACACTCTCATGTCTCTTTAGGGTCAATGTGAAATTGAAAAGCTCCACACTGCTGTGTTTCTAGATATTATCTCTGTCTTTCCCTTTGTCTCTGCTGGACGTGGTTTCTTCCTGAGATGGAATTTGGATAGGGTGACACCTGCCTCTGAGTAAAACTCCTTCTCAGTGACAGAAACACTTGAGACTTTTCTGATTTTTCCTATATTCTGAGAAATTCTGTCCTATGATCACTGGAAGTTTGCAAATGAAATGTTCCTTGTGTTTGTCTTTCTTCCTATCAGTGATTGCTATGGAGATATATTTATATTTGCAGCATGTAATCTTTTGCATTCTGAAATTTTTCCTATGATCACTTTCTACTTCCCACTGTGCCTTTCTTTTTCCCAACTTGATACTAGGCAACACATGGTTGTCTTCATGTCGTCTTATGTCAGTTTTTATTTCTGCATATTTATATCAGCATAATGAAGGCACTTAATAAGTTTTTATAACAAAACACAGAACTTTGGCATCAGTTTGTTATTGTCAGACAACTGTTTTTATTTTCCTGAAATCTCATGCTTTCTACTCTCTCATCCCCTTTCTCTCATCACACCCAACATTTTATTTAAGACCTCTGTCCTATCCTGTGTCATTTCCTTCCTTCTTGCCCCTCACTTAAAATGTCTTTTCCTGTCTTGACTTCCATTCTATTTCCAAGCCTACAAAACAGAAGTCAGAAAACCACATACACAGAGTCTCTAATACACAATCTGGATTTCCAATAAGGCAGAAAATGTCCTTACCAATCTTCAATATGTTGTGTGATATAAGATTTTCAAAATTATTCAAGTTCCTCCAAGGCTCAGAGAACACTGATGAAGAGGATGTGAGAAGAATGTGAGGAGTGGAACACAGGGAAAGGTGCTGTGAAATGCTGTCTTCTGGACATGTCATGGATATTACAATCATGGACTCATAATGGCTGCTGTTGTCTGTATAATCATAACTATGGCCAAACCAGCTTGGTATAGGTAGGTCTGATAATTCCTTGACCCTACTTCTTATAGAGGAGCAGGTGGAAGTGTATTTTCTGGACAAGGGGCATAGTCCCTCTTTTTTGAGGGTATGGTCACTGGTATGCTTCCTAAATTGCAGTCCATGGGTTCACATACATGCACACATGGGCAGCACTTACTGTGCTTAAATAAGTATAAGGATGATACAGCCCCATGCTTGCCAGATTTAGAAGGAGCTGAATGAAATAATATCACATGTAGAGATCCTAATGAATAAAGGAAAATAATATAAACTATATAACTGAGGCTCGAAACAATAAATTCAGAAAGCAAATGATTAAGGAACAGTGGTAAATATCAAATAACTTGGTAGGCAACTTTATCTCTGACCATCTTCTCATAAAACTAAGAGTCCTTCACTTATTCGGTTTTTTAAATTTTTTAGTTTTTTTAAAAACTACTAATCCAAGTTCCCACTTCCTCCCCTGCTCCCATTACCTCCACACACCCTCCCACCCTACCCCCATCTAATCCTCAGAGAGGGTAAGGCATATTGCCTTGTGGAAGGTCCAAAGCCCTCATTACCATATCTAGGCTGAGCAAGGTGTACATTCAAAGAGGATAGGACCCCAAAAATCAGTAGATGCATTAGAGATAAATCCTGGTGCCATGCCAGTGGCCCCTCAGTCTTGTGTGATCTTGTGCATGCACTTGCAGCTGCTGTGACTTCATGATTGAGACATCCCATGCTAAGTTATTGGCTCATATGATCCTGTGAATGCAGTTACAGATACTGTGAGTTCATGAGTTAGACATCCCATGCTGGACTGTTAGCTAGTATGGACTTGTCCATGTAGTTACAGCTGTTGTAAGTTCACAACTGTGGCAACCTTGCCATGCCTGGAAAACACTGTTTCACTGACATCATCCCTCCATTCTGCCTCCTAAATCTCTTTTTACTTCTCTTCTATTATTGATCCCCAAATCTTGGAAAGTGAAGGAATGGTTGAAATGTCCCATTTAGACTGAGGACTTCAGGACCTCCTATTCTCTAAATGTGGACTAGTTTTAGGTCTCTGTATTAATCAATACCTCAAAAAATCAAAGTTTTGATTTAGCTGTTGAAATGCAATGATATATAGTATAAATTTTAAATTCTTAAGGGGTTGTTTAATACAATGTTCATTTAACAGAATAATAGTGCTAAATTCTCTCCTAGAGCTTATGATCTACCATGTCATGGGTTACTGGTCTGGTTCTTGGAACCAGATATAATTTCAAGTTTTGGGGAGTGGGCCTTAAATCCAATAAGAAATATTTAGTCATTCCCAAAACATTCACAGCACTATTGAACCAATGTCCATACATTGTCAGGCTCTTTACTGTTGTAGGTTGTGATACTTATTTTTGAGACCCAAGGCCAGTGTCAGATATCATCTCATATTTTCAAGCTTGCTTTCTCATGGGTGACTGAAGCACATTTCCTGCTTCCTTCCCTGTTATCGTATCTAGGATTTGTTCTTGTCTTGCTGAGCTTGTTACCATATCACATTGTTGTTATGTATGGTCCACACCTGCTTCTTGCCACATATTCCCTGTGGACTGCATAAGGAACACAAGATGAGAATACCACCTGGACACTCAGCTCCCCTGCCATCTTACCCAAGGTCTCCAGCCATTTTTTGCATACTGCCATGAGTTACACTCTCTTGCATGCATGTGACAAGGCCATTGGAGCAGATATGTACTGTAGCCAATGTATGTAAAATATTATTTTGGGGTGATGACAATGAATTTGTTCCCTCTACTGAGGCCAATGCAAGCCTGAGGCTCCTCTTGGATTTGCAAATGCCTCTGTTTTTTTTTAAACTTCCTTCCTTTATTCATTATTTTCTTATATTTTGACGTAGAATAACATATCAATAAATCCCTTTCACTTAATTGTGGTTTTCTTCTGCACCTGGGGAATCTAACTTGCACTAATGTTCTGGAAGACAATCAATAAAAACACAGCATAGATTGATTTTATATTTATAGACCATGGTACAGTTACCTTGATTCAGAGAAGAGATGAGCACTGTCTTGGGAAGCTTTTTGAAACTTCAGATTTCTGACTGTGAGACCTTGATTTGGGTGGACTTGGTGTTTCTGGGACATGGTGTGAAGGACTCAGAAGTTCACATATGAGGAGCATGGGCATAAAATGCTTCTGATGTAGATGTGGGAGAGGTAATAGACGGCACAACTGCAACCACAGCCACACAGAATCACATTTACACATACAGTTCCACATTCCAAAACACACTTACACACACACACACACACACACACACACACAACACAAAGTAATACTTACAGATAAGTTCTAATACTGAATATACACAAACACACATACCAAAATTCATACTTATAGATACAGTCACAATCCCAACACACATGCACTCGCATTCACATAATCACAGGCACACACATAGTCACACTCCCAGATAAGTAACATCCCAATACACACACATACAAAGAATAGTTACAAACACAGTTGCAGTCCAAAATCCCATCACACACATACAACCACACCCCTCATACATGCACACTCACAAACTGACACATAGCACCAAAGCCAGACTCAGAAACTTCCCCATTCATAGTTCCAGGGATGGAACTTTCAACAGGTCCACTCTGTCTGGCCTGGAATCACTGTGGACAAGGCTGGTCTTGAACTTTAAGACATACTTTTGCCTCTGTCTTCCTAGTGCCCAGATTAAAGGTATGTGGCACTGTGCCTGGCTGTCAAACACAGATTTTTAAAATATAATGTTTCAGTTTCACTGAAAGTAGTTTCTTTATCCACAGAGTGTATTCTGAGCACTGTTTTCCTGCCCTCATCGCATCTGAGAGTCTCCCCAGCATCCATCTGATCCAAATAATGACAGGCAGAGGTCTTAGGACCATTTATAAAGGCACTTAAGTATTGAACTCTTGTCATTCTTTTTCATATATACAAAGAATGGCTTAAAAGTTAATAATTTATAATACATTTTGCTCAGGTGATGTAAATAATATCAAAACTTCAATTGAATAAATACACTATTTGAGTATGTGTAGTCACTTGAAAGTGGACTTGCTTCCAATGGGTCATATGTTTAAACTTTGTTTTCTATCTGATGGTGTTCTTTAGAGATGCTGTGGAATGCTTGAGAGGTGGTGCCTCAGGAGGAACTGTGTCACTGGGTGTGCATCTTGAATTCTTATACACCAGTTCTCTCTGATTTATTCTCTACTTGCAGAATGCAGGTGTGAGAAGTCATGTGAGCCATGCCTTCCTGTCATGATGGACTGTGCCCCTAACACCTTCACTCAAATAGACCCTTTGTTTCTGCTGTGGCTTCCTATTAGGAATATTTCACAGAATAGGAAAGCAACCAACGCAGAAATAAATTTAAAATATTTTATCTATAACTAGTAGTACAAAGCTTACCTGGGAATGGGTGATGTGATATTTAATGGTGCATGGCTTGAGAACCCAGCTACAAAGAAAGGTAAGGTGTTTGGAGCACAAATCTAATAAACACAATCAATACATCAAAGACTTCAGAATTATTCATGTTCCTCCAAGTCTCAGAGAACACTAAGGAAGTGGAGGCTGGAAGATTGTAAGAGGTGGGAAAATACCTCCAACAGATTAGTATCAGGCAAGACTGTAGGGCATTTTCTTGATTAAAAATTTGATTTTGGAAGGCTTAGGCAGATTAGAAAGGGCCATTCCTGAA